CTGAATATACTGCAGGTAGTCCCTTTCTCAGGCCATCAGGTGATATGTTCACACCTTCACAAGCTCTTTCTCACTTCCACTTCTCCTATAAACACACGAAGCCATTTCCATACCTGAGGCATATTTTTTTTCTGGAGCATTTGCTAGGATCTGGGATATCTATGGCCATGCACACAAACTACCTGTTCCAAACTGAAGCCTGATGCTTCTGCATTGTGTCCTATATCATCACCCGAAGCAGGGGAACATGCTTCCCTGCCAGGCTGGTACAATTCATAAGTGAAAGCAAAGATCCACAGTGCTGGGCAAGAGCACGTTGTGCACTTGTACACAACCGAGAAGAGTAAGCATCTTTTCTTCTACCCAGCCTTTAATCGAGTGCATATACAGAGAAGGAGTATGTGGCTGCGGTAGCTCGTGTTCCTCTCCAAGGAGCGCCAGCAGGGCAGGAGTGCATCACAAAGGTGCCAGTTTTAGACGCTGCGGCTGAGTGCTAGTTGGGAGCGTGTGCGGGGGGGCCGAGAGCGGTGGTGGCAGAGGAGAGAGTGCCTACGGCCACACCACCCTGAAAACGCCCGATCTCGTCTGATCTCGGAAGCTAAGCAGGGTCGGGCTCGGTTAGTACTTGGATGGGAGACCGCCTGGGAATCCCGGGTGCTGTAGGCTTTTGCCAGCCGATAGGGGATCCTGCGAGCAATGTCAGCCTCTTTTTGTATGCGGAGTGGTTTTCGTTTTTATGGGCCCTGCGAGCACTTGCAGACCCCTTTTTTTTGCGGGATGTTGAGGCCACAGGGGGCCCTGCGAGCTGTTTCCCACCCCTTTTTCTCGGTGGGGTACTGCGGAGGAACAGGTCCATGGGAGAACCTGTTCCTGTTGTTGGGGGACATGAGGGATGGAGCGTGGCGTTGTTTGTGTAGGGGGATGGGGGCTCGGTGGGTCGGGGTGAGAACCGTGCGGGGCTCTGTGCTTGGGGGTGCTGGCGCGGTTGGACGTCGCAAGGGTGCCGCTGGGTTTGGGTGCTGAGGCTGAGTGCGGGTCGGCAGCGTGTGCGGAGGGGCCGAGAGCGGTGGTGGCAGGGAAGAGGCTGCCTACGGCCACACCACCCTGAAAACGCCCGATCTCGTCTGATCTCGGAAGCTAAGCAGGGTCGGGCTCGGTTAGTACTTGGATGGGAGACCGCCTGGGAATCCCGGGTGCTGTAGGCTTTTGCCAGCCGATAGGGGATCCTGCGAGGGATGGCGGCCCCTTTTTGTTCTTGCTTGTGTATTGCGGAGGGGCAGGTCTGCGGGTGGGGGCCTTGCCGTGTTGCTGGGGGCCTCATAAAGCCAAGGGTGTTCCGTCTTTGGTGTCCCCTGAAGGCCATCTCGGCCCTCTTTTTCTTGCTGGGCTGTTGCGGAGGAGAAGGTCCGCTGCGGTGCCCCTGCCGTGTTGCTGGGGGCGCCAGGGAAGGAGCGTGGCGGTGCTTGTGCAGGGCGGTATGTGGGGGGGCGGAGGCGTCAGGGCCATGCGGGGGTCTGTGCTCGGGGGAGCTGCCGCAGGGCAGGTGCGCGTCAGGTTCGTTCCCGTGCCTTTGACCGGTGGGGCTGTGGGGCTGGGCTGGAGCGCGGCAGGGGCGAGATGAGGGGAGTGTTGGCGGGATAGGGGGTGCTTACGCAGAGACCCCCTCTGAGTGAGCCCGATCCCGTCTTGTCTCGGAAGCTAAGCAGGGGTGAGCTGCATTGCTCTTAGCGAGGGTGACCTCCCTTGGACTGGAGTTCCTGCATCGGAGCCCCACCGATGAAGGCCGCGTGCTGCAGGCTTTTGAGAGGCGGTGCCCGCACCCTGTTTGTGCTTAGGGTGCCGCGGCTGGGCTGTTGCGATGGGCGGCCGTGCGGCTCTCGCAGGAGGCAGGGCGGGAGTGTGGTGCTGCGTGGGCGGGGGGGTTGTGTTGGGTGTCGCGGTCAGAGCCGTACGGGGCTCTGTGCTTGGGGGTGCTGGCGCGACTGGACGTCACCAGGGTGCCGCTGGGTTTGGGTGCTGAGGCTGAGTGCGGGTCGATGTGCATAGGGGGCCAAGAGCGGTGGTGGAAGAGAAGAGGCTGCCTACGGCCACACCACCCTGAAAACGCCCGATCTCGTCTGATCTCGGAAGCTAAGCAGGGTCGGGCTCGGTTAGTACTTGGATGGGAGACCGCCTGGGAATCCCGGGTGCTGTAGGCTTTTGCCAGCCGATAGGGGATCCTGCGAGCAATGTCAGCCTCTTTTTGTATGCGGAGTGGTTTTCGTTTTTATGGGCCCTGCGAGCACTTGCAGACCCCTTTTTTTTTTGCGGGATGTTGAGGCCACAGGGGGCCCTGCGAGCTGTTTCCCACCCCTTTTTCTCGGTGGGGTGCTGCGGAGGGGCAGGTCTACGGACGACCCTGTTCCTGTTGTTGGGGGAACATGAGGGATGGAGCGTGGCGTTGTTTGTGCGGGGAGGCGGTGTCGGTGGGTCGGGGTCAGATCCGTGTGGGGCTCTGTGCTCGGGGGTGCTGGCGCCGGTGCTGGGGCTGAGTGCGGGGAGGGGGCCGAGAGCGGTGGTTGCAGAGGAGAGAATGCCTACGGCCACACCACCCTGAAAACGCCCGATCTCGTCTGATCTCGGAAGCTAAGCAGGGTCGGGCTCGGTTAGTACTTGGATGGGAGACCGCCTGGGAATCCCGGGTGCTGTAGGCTTTTGCCAGCTGATAGGGGATCCTGCGAGCAATGGCAGCCCTTTTTTTTCTTGCTTGTGTATTGCGAGGGGCAGGTCCGCGGGGGGCGCCCGTGCCGTGTTGCTGAGGGGGTGCTCATAAGGCCAAGTAGTAATCCCACCAGTTGGAGGGAAATAATACAGACAAAACAGAAATAATGTCGCTGGGTATCAGCAGCATTAGTGGCACTTTGAAAGAAACACAGAGGATCAGTGAAACTGCTAGAAATAGCAAAAATGACAACCGCAAAATGTGAAATAGGTTTGAAAAACCATCCAGTTGTAAAGAAAAAGGTTCAAAAGGGAACACTGAAATTAGGAATGAAACCAGGAGATTATTGGAAAAGAGATTTTTCAGAAATCAATGGATACTGATTTGGATGTAAGTGGGAGCCAGTTCTGGTGGGGTGTTGCATAGGGGCAGGTCTGTGGAGTGCTCCCATGCGGCTGTTGTAGGGCGGTGGTAGAGATCATGGTGTACTTGGATGGGAATTCTTCCTTGGTTATGTGGCTTCTTGCTCTTTGATTGGCCTTTGTCTTTGTTTTGTGCTGATGATGGATGGGTGGGATTTAATTTTTGATGGTTTTGTTTTTCTCTGCTGTTCAGTCTTTTAAGTACTTTTGGCTTTTTTTCCACCTAAGCTTAAAATATTTTGTATAGTTTTAAAATAAATTTCCCTTGTTGTATATTCTGTGATCATGATGCTTATTTATCCTGTCCACGCTTTACTTAGAGTCATTAGCTGTACCCACATTTCTGTACTTGTCTCCATGGTTGGAGCACTGGCTCGATGGTCGCAGTGCCTGATGCTGTTACCTGTTTTCAGGGGTGCCATCATGCTTCTGCAGTTCCTGCAGCAATGCTGTTCCACAGCCTGTGCTGTGGGCGCTGCCTTCAGGGCAGCAGGCACTAGGCGAAGAGCCCGTGGGTGTCTGCAAGGGGCCGTGCCATGCTCTGGAATGCCCACTGCAGGATCCCATCCCAGGCGCCCTGCAGGACAGCCCCAAGGTCATTGCCCAGATCCATCCCAGTCCCTGCGCCCTTGTCTGTCCTGGCTATCTCTACCTCACCCCCTGCCTAACGTCATCCTGTAGGTCACACCGGAGACATAGTCCGTCCCCAGACTGGACTATGCCTGTTGCTGTCCATGAGTGCCATACCTCACCCAGGAGGGCATCAAGCTCATCCCTGCTCAGCACAGGGTCACTGCCGAGGGAGCCATCCTCTGCCTGCAGGAGGAGACACGTCCTGTCAGCTTTCCTGCCTGCCCTCTGCCTGCAGCCCTTGGGTCAAGGTTGGTTGACTGGGTTCAATCTGTCACCTGGTGCAGCCTCATATCATGCCCCATGTCTCTAGCTCCCTACCCCCCTCACCTTCCTCTCCAGTACAGCTTCATAGAATGGTTTGGGTTTGAAAGGACTGTAAGATCCTCTACTTCCAACCCACCTCCCATAGTCAGGGACACCTCACACTAAACTATGTCACCCAAGGCACTGTTTGACCTGGCCTTGAACACTGCCAGGGATGGAGCATTCACAACTTCTTGGGCAACCCATTCCAGTGCCTCACCACCCTCACAGGAAAGAACTTCTTCCTTATATCCAATCTAAACTTCCCCTGTTTAAGTTTTAACCCACTGCCCCTTGTCCTGTCACTACAGTCCCTAATGAAGAGTCCATCCCCAGCATCCCTATATGCCCCCTTCAGATACTGGAAGGCTGCTATGAGGTCTCCACGCAGCCTTCTCCAGGCTGAACAGCCCCAACTTTCTCAGCCCATCTTCATATGGGAGGTGCTCCAGTCCCCTGATCATCCTCGTAGCCCTCCTCTGGACTCTTTCCAACAGTTCCATGCCCTTTTTATATTGAGGACACCAGAACTGCACACAATACTCCAAGTGAGATCTCACGAGAGCAGAATAAAGGGGCAGGATCACCTCCCTCAACCTGCTGGTCATGCTCCTTTTGATGCAGCCCAGGATACGGTTGGCTTTCTGAGCTGGAAGCGCACACTGCTGGCTCATGTTCGTTTTCTATTGACCAGCACCCCCAAGTCATTCTCTTTAGGGCTGCTCTGAATCTCTTCGTTGCCCAACCTGTAGCTGTGCCTGGGATTGCTCCGACCCAGGTGTAGGACCTAGCACTTGTCATGGGTAAACTTCATAAGGTTGGCATTGGCCCACCTCACAGCACTTGAGCAGCGTGGCTAGAGCTCTTCCCAGTGAAGACTGAGACAAAGAAGTCATTGAGAACCTCAGCCTTCTCCGAATCAAGGATAGGCAGTTCTCCCGTTCACTAACTTGCCTCCAGCAACACTCAGCCAGTCTCTCACCCAGCCTGAGATAACATTCCTCAGCCTTATCATTCCCTTTGTACCCACCACTGCGGCCTCACCCAGCCTGTTTCCCTCCATGGGGCTGGTTGCTGGTGGTACCAACCTTTGCTGCCTGTAGTGGGTGGTTGCTGGCCGCTGTGGTGCTCTCCAGCCTGCTTGTGTCTGGGGTGGTCACGCAGGATGGGCATAGCAGCAGCCTCCTACAACCATGAGGGGTGACAGAGACCATCAGCGTAGCCTCCCCCTTCCCAGCCATGGGGGGATTTAAGGCTAGGATGTGGGGGATGATGACAGGAGACTCACCTGGGGTCCCTGTTGGGTGCAGAGCAGTGTCGGGGTGCAGGGATCTGGGTGAGGCAGCGGCTGCAGACACCGCCATCACCTCCGCTGCCCTGGGGTCCACGTGCTTCCTCCCCCAGGGTGACTGGGGTTCTCTCCACGGCTGCATTTGCCTCCTGCAGCCCGCTTGACTCAGCCGCAGTTGCCACACAGGAGCCACACTGCCATGTCCCACTGCACAGCCAGAGCCAGGTGGTGAGAGACAGCCATGGGGCACCGGGGTCCTGATGGCACCCTGGGGCTCACCTTGGGACACGGGGCAGCGGGGGTACCAGGCAGGCGAGGTGGAAGGCCCTGGGGCAGCCATCACAGCAGATGAGTTCGCCACCATCACCACACACTGCACACTCGTCCTCGTTCTCCTGCCCCAGGGGAGCGGGCAGGGGGTCACCACCAGCCAAGAAGGCTGCAGTATTGCTGGGGCTCATGCTGGCGAGGGACCCCAGAGCCTGTTATCCCCATCACCCTTTCCCTTTGCATCACCCACCCTGCACCAAGCACACCAACTCCAGTCGGGGTGGGAATTGCCTGTTTCTCAGGAGTTGTAGCCTTGTGACGGCTGGCAGCTAAGCCCCAGGTTGCCTGTGCTCAACCGAGCAAAGGGACATGCAAGGGGCACTCCAATGGTCCCTGTTTCACCAGGTGCCTCTCAGGGATGCACAGGGGCTCACCTGGTGTGGCACAGGGTCCTGGCTGTGCACAGTGGGTGTCAGCAGCTGGTCCTGGGGGTGCCTTTGGGGCTCCCCACTCTGCAGGAAAGACAAGCAAGGGGTTTGGGGGAGCTGCTGGGACAGCCTGGCATGGGGGGACACCCCCAGGCCATGGTCATGCTGCCAGGCAGGGACAGCTCCCTGCCACAGCCTCGGGTAGCTGCAGAAGCTGGGGGGGAAAGCAGGTGGTGGTGGGGGGTCTGTACACTTTGGGATGCCTTGGGCCGGGCAGGGGGCCTCAGGCTGCGGCTTCTGCTCCTGGCACCCGGCTCCTCACAGGTGCCTGCAGCATACAGCTCGTCCCCAGCTTTGCTGCCCACCTTGGAGCTGCCTGCAAGAGAAGCAAACAGCAGTGCCCTTACTCCCACCCCTCCTCCTCGGGGCAGCTTCTGGCTTTGGGGGGGCTAAACTGGGTGGGATGTTAGCTGGTCCTACCTGGTTCCAGTGTGTGTTTGATGAGGGTGCCTTCGATGGCCCCTTGAGTGACAGGCACCTCACTGCTTGCCACAGCCACTGCTCTCTGCACAGAGGTGGCCGCTGCCTGGAGGGCTGCAAGCAGGGATTGGCTTAGTGGAGCAGGCATCAACTGCAGGCAAACAGTGCCCAGGCAGACACTGCTCCATCGGGATCAGGGCACTCACCACCACCACAAGGGGCACGAGAGGCATCCACACCCTCTGGCTTCTTCACAGTCCTCAGCTTCACCAGGGGCCCTGCAGGGCATCAGGAAACACTGCACCTCAGGGATCCCCCCATCACATCTCCATCCCCCTGTGCGTCTCCATACCAGGGCTGGCAGTGTGCCGTGGGGAGGGCTGCACGGCTCGGGCTCCATCCCGCTCCTCAGGGGCTCTCCTCTTGCCTTGGTGTCTGTGCGGTGCTATGGGGCTGGGGGAGAGACGCCTGCCACGGTGCTGGTGCCCCAGCTCCATCTCTGTGAAGGGGACAGGTACAGCCAGGCCTGGGTGTCACCCCTGCCCACCAGCAGAGCTGGGAGGGGAGCCAGGGATGCCCTCCTGCTACCTCTGGGGAAGGCACCACGGAGGGGCCGGAGCCGTGTGTAGCACTCCAGGTTGTAGTCCTTGAAGAGCACTTCCCAGAAGTCCCGGACAGCAGCAGCATCTTGGCCCAGCAGCCAGGTGAGCAGTGCATGGAAGGCACGGTGGGAACCCTCCCGCTCCGTCTGGCTCAGCGTCTCCTACCGGTGCCATCACAGCCTATCGGTGTCATCAGCCAGCCCCACGGCGTGGCCATCCTCCCCCCCCGCAGCCTCACCTTGAAGATGTGCTCAGGGACAACATCGTGGTCAGCCAAGCCGTGCAGCAGTGGGAAGATGTCATCCACTGCCATGGCAATCTCGGTGCGGTGCAGCTTCAGCAGGCGCCGCAGATCCCCCTCACCGCCCGGCCCTGCCATGCTGCAGGGAGGCTGCCGGGGATGAGCAGCCTGCCCCGACACTCCCCTTTAATATGCCCTGGCCACCAACAGTGGAAACCTTATCAGGCTCCCGCAGACCCACTCATTTCCGTATGAGGCCATGTAACCCGAGATTGTTCCTCTTGACACCAGCTCGCCGTTGGCATGGTTGGGCTTGCCCCATGGCACCGCTCCACCTCCAGCGCTGGGATTTGGGGTTAGGCTACCCCCCAGCTCAGGGCATTAAGAGTGGTGTTAGCGTGAAGGACAGCCAACACTGCAATGACCACCCCTGGGTGGCCAGGGAGAGTGGGTCCATGGGGTGCTGGCGCAGGGGCTCCTGCCTCTCTTGTCTCTGTGGCTGGCCAGGCATTGCCCCAAAAGTTCTGGACTTTCCGCCGGACCTGCTTCTCTCATCCAGAAACTCAGCTCTGGAGCACGTGGGAAGCAATGCCCTGACAGCAGGGGAAAACGGGAATATTTGCCCTGGCTGCCTGCAAACCACCAATAGGAAAGCACTGACACCAAACGTGCTATCAGGTACAATCAGGAATGCTGAACAAGCAAACAACCCACTTGAAGCGTGGCATCGCTGGCTTCCAGCCTGCCAGTGCCACAAACAAGGCCAGGGATTATATGGGCAGGCACTGCTTGCAGCTCCTAAACACCCACTCCCGGAAATTGGGCAATAAAGTGATTTCACTGCATATACACAATTGTAAAACCCTTGGAACTGGTGTGAACTGGCTCCTTGGGAGCACTGGGCATAGAAAAGTCTGTGGGACGGCTGCTCTGTTAGCACATGTCCAGGAAAGAGAAAGCTCCAAAGCTCCTATCCCAATTCCCAACTGTGGTATCTGCTGGCTCCAAAGCTGTGCCAGAAGGAAGCAGCTGCTGTTCAGAAACTTGGGAATAACAAGACAACAACTACTGTGAGAGCAGGAAATACACATCCGCTTAATAAATTAATGTGTTCACCCATGGAAAAACCCACCTTAGAGCTCCTTTCAGCCTCTTCCCACAGAGGCACTGGGAGAAATGGGATTGGGGTCAGGCAGGTGACCTTCTAGGTTCCCATGCCCAGGAAAACCATTTTTCCCAGTGTTCCACCTGCAGGGCCGAAATGCGTCACCATGACCCTGATAAGCTGCCTGGTGCCTCTAGGACAAGACCCTAGTGCTTGCCGCAGGGCAGCTGATGGCTGTCCCCTCCCAAGCTCCACCCACCTGCAGTTAGGGCAGCTCCTTCGAGATCAGTCTCTGCCCAATGCAGCTGTGACCCGTGAGCCCACAGCACTGGGCTCAGACTTGCCTTAAATTCCAGCCTTTTGACTGTTTCTGTGCTCTGAATCACAGCAGATTGTTTTCCACATCCAGACTGCTCAGCAGAGTAGTGATTTGCATTTTGGGTTGTTATTTTTGTGTTCCTTCCCCTTTCTGAAATGCTGCACAGGAGGTAGAGCAGCAGCTGCCACGTTAAGAGGCATGTATATCCTGGTGTATTCAGCTGGGTATTTCTGTATGTCCTTGCTTAGAGCACACCTTGGCAGCTGGAAGGTACTTGTAAGGGTCATGAAAAGTCAGCTTTTACTTGCAGAGGGGTGTAAAGCCCTCCCTGGGGCTGGCATGAGCCCTGCCTAGCTGCGAGGGCCCAAGGTTGGCGCAGAGAGGAGCCTGGTCATGGTTTCAGCTTTTCTGTTGCTCCCCTTGCAGAAATCAGAGGAAAAGGTTAAAGCTAGGTCAGCTCAATCTGAGCTGGAATCTGTGAAGGCTGAAGGTTTCTCCACACCCAGTTAAATCAGCAACTCAGTGCCCAGCAAAAACATACGTAGCCCTGGAATGCACACTGATTCCCTCCTCCTGCGAAAAGCTGTTGAAGCAAACGGGCCCTTTCCAGCATGTCTTTCTTTCCCATTCCCTTTCCAGGTCAGGGTCTCACGGCGCAAACTTTTGGTCTTTGGACACCACTTGCCCAGTGCTTATCTCATACAACAGGTCCATGAACCAGACAGAACATGCAGAAGTGGGGAACCCTCCCCTGGTATCATGCCAGGAAGGCAGACCCCCTTGCTCCCCTTGTCTCCGATACCGATCTCTCCACACCTCAAGCACACTGGGTGAAATGCTGCCACCACGCTGAGAGGTTTCATCCCTCTGCCCTTACCTTTGGCTGCTCCAGGCTCCAGGCACTGTTGGTACAAAAGGGCTCTAGGTAGGCCTCAAATCCTAGACTCCCATTCCTAGCAGCTCCCCTCCTGCTGCCCCATGCAGTCCAGCTGAGAGTGGGTCCAGCTGCAGCGCCTGCAAGAGCCTGGGAGGGAGAGCTGGAGTAGAGGTGGCTTATTCTAGCTTCAGTTTCCTCTTTTCTCCCCCTTTAGAAAGAAGAAACAAAAGCCCAGAGGTATGTTATATTAATTTATTTGGGACACACCAAAAAAGGAAAGTCAACAACTGTCAACGTACAAAAGTACAGAATCCTGGGACAAGATTTACTGTCCTGATTAAAAAGGCACCATGGTCCCAAAGAAGAAGTAATCAGAATACATCATTTAGAAATTTCCCTCCCCTGTTGCAGCAGAAACAGAGCCAGGCTTTGGCTCTATCCACAGTCAAACCCAGTTTAAAATAAAAACAATTTAAATGCAATGAACACTGCTCAGCCTGTACAGGATCTCATGGAAAGAATCACAGCCTAGAGGATGGCTGGACTTCTTTAAAACAGCAAAGGTGACACATCACTAATAACTGAGGAAGACTGCAGACTTTTGACGTTTTCAGCTCAACTTTCTGTAACACATCAGTTCAACTGAAACTAGCAGGCTGAGCTTGGGGCTTCTGCATGAAATGTAATTAATTCCCTGTGGCAAACAGGAAGTCAGATTCGACAACCTTAAATTCCCTGAATCCCTGAAAAATCATAAAACACTACACAGCTGTGTTCCATATTCGAGTCAACCCTGGTGGATTTGCTTTACACACAAGCATTTATACTGTCAGCTATATCTGTAATACAAAGGGGGGTTTACAGCAGTTATCTTAAAAAAACGTCTACTTCGGCGAGGTCCGAGCTTGGCTATATTCCCTGCTGAAACAGAGCTGCTGGTGTAAAAGCCCAGTGAGAGGCTCAAGTCCAGCACCTCAGGGCTGGAAGGCAAATAGTTCAAACGTGACATAAGTTGCACGGGGAAGTCAGTGAAGCACGTCAGAGAGGAGCAGAGGGAGGGCTGCAAACGCTCAAGCAGCAGAGGCTGAAGGGTGCTGCAGAACGTGGGTGCGTGCTATTAAACCTGTAACAACACACTACGGGTGATGCGGAATACACTGAGTTCACTACGTATTTTGGAGCAACTTACCGTGAAGAACTTCTCAGAGATACGGAATAAGGATCCCGGCAATGACTAATGAGCAAGGTCACTGGGAAGCCGGTGCATGGCTCAGAGCCGGACAGATCCGTCCTTGGGCGGAGGGGTGGATCAGAGGTACACCGCAGCTGGCCTGAGCAGCGAGGCCAGGGCTGCCGCCGCCTCTTGTGCTTGCTCGCTCTGCTGTGTCCCAATTGGACCAGCAACTGATTTGTGTTTCATTCCTCCTTTGGCATAGGACTTCAAAGCAGTCCAAGAACTGATTCATCAAAAGTAAAGGAACTGTCAAAATTATTCGTACATGCATTTATTGTTAAAGGGAGCAAAAGCCAAAGAATGAAACAGCACGGGTTAATGTCAGTAAAATGATGTGCGGGACGGAAAGGAAAAGAAACGGGGAAAAGCTGAGATACTGGAGTGGGGAAACCAACATTCACACTGAAAGGTAAATCTGAAAACCAGGCAAGTTTGCACTCTTCTTACCAGAGAACTTCTGTGGGCAAATAAGAGACTTGAGGTTTTTAGATCCCAGTGTACTCTGGTGAGGCTTGGGAATCTCACCAGAGAGATCTCCAGCACTGGGTTTCACTGAAAGTTCAAGTCTCTCATCTTTAAAAACCAGTACAGCAACTCTAACTAAAAACAGCAGATACCCTCGTACTAGGGGCATCCAAGACCACAGACATGTCACTGCTCAGGGTGTACGTGGACAAGAGGGTTATACTTTGTTCAAACAAACTCCGGGTGGAAAACTACTATTTCCCCCCTGCTGGCCTGCACAGACCTCAGGGGTGGAAAAGCAAGCCCAGGCTCAGGTGCCTTTAGCTGTAAATACCACAGCTATCGACACCTGGGAAAGGCTTTTTCTTTCCTATACCCTATGAGGCAGGATAACAATTTATAAAATTCTATTCATCTTCAAACTAAATAAAGCAATTTGCATCCTTCTCCCTATATTTAGCCCCCCACTGCCCCCCCCCCCCCAAGATAAAGCATTACCACTTCATTTAGGATTCACACCTTAGATCCTAGATTAGGGACTTCATGTTATAACTCATCCAATTATGAAAAGGTTTATCCTGATCAAGGAAACGTCAGTAAAATAGAATCTAGAATAAAACATTCAGAATCACCAATGCTTTTACAGCCAAAGCACTCAAATGTCTCCTGATCTCTCTTCTCCTCTCCTCCTCAAGCAAGAGAGCAACTCCTTTGCAAAACTGCAGGGTTCCTCTCCAGGACTGGGTGATACGAGCTTAAAATCACCTTCCTTCCTTGCAGCAACACCATATTCTGCTGAAAGGGGCCAAGCACCTTTCACTTCCACTGAAACCAGAACACGTTAGGGCTTTTCAGCACACACACTTCCTGTTAGCAACAAGTCCAAGTTATTTCCCTGCAGTAAATCCGAGTCCTGTTTCATACTGTTAGGTCACCACTGGCCCAGAAACGGTGAGAGACTTTCAAAAACCCACTGGTGTAGACAGGACCTTGGAAGAAGAGGCTTATACGCTACGTAACCTTAGATCATCTGCTACGTTTGAGCCTTTGCATCATAAGCTGCTGGCTACTTATCCTTCCAAATTCACGTGTTTTAGTCCTTGTTGCTGTTATCCCAGCGCTTTTCCCTGGAAGCAGGATGTTCCTGAGCTCTGGCTTGGGGATCTACAACAATCACTTCCAATTGATGGTGGGATTTCAAACTTGCCTAACGTGTGCATTGCTACTTCATACTCCAGCAGCTCTGCCTGCCGACTGCGGCATGCACTAGCAGTTTTTGACCTTCTCCACAGTCTCGTAGAAACCAGGCCTAACCCTCCTGATGCTCATTCTTATATGCTGGCACTCCAGTGGCATAGCAGTGCTTTCAGGAGTTGTGGTGCACAGGCGCTTCCTTCTGCCCCGCAGTGAAAAAGCTGGGGGCCCACCGTTCTCCTCCTCAGCCAGGTAGGATTCATTGACACTCCTGCCTTCCTCTGATTGCTCCTCACTTTTGTATTTCATTTCCTTCGCTTTGTTCCCTTCCTTCTCCTCCCTGGCGAGTTTTCTGAAGTGCTCCAGACACTGTATCTTTTGTCTTCTGTCCATCAACTTCAATTCTTGCTTGTCTGTGAAATCTTCATAGTACATTTTTCTCTCACTTCTTTGATCTTCAAGGAATTTCCACTCGATGCTAGTCATTTTTATCCCACTGCACTCCTCCAGTTTATTCCTTGTCTGCGTGTCTGTGCAAAATACATCAAAGAGCTTCTCTGAACTCTCGTTGAATTTGTCTGCTTTCTCAGTAAAAGCCTGGTTCTGTCTCTGCTTCCTGGTCTGATACAATCGGGTAAACTCCTCGTACATTTTGAGGATAAGTTTCTTTATGCTTTGCGTCGCTATGGTGTGCAGGTTGCAAACCAACCAGTGCTCCTGCAGGTGCTCTGCAAGCAACTGGGCTGCATCCTCTTTGGACCGCTGGGCCTGGCCAGCTCTTTTGGGCTGCAGTAAATACAGCATGTTCTGAACCACATCCTTCTTGGTTGGCAGTATGCCTTGGGTGAAACCTGAAGACTCTACATATTCAACAGTCCCCAGAGTCTTCCGTACTCTCACCTCGGTATCCAGTGATTCCATCACTGCTCGTTTATATTGTAGTTATGACACAATCTGGAAGAAGAGAGGGGGAAAGAAAAAAAAGGAGCATGTCAAATGAAGCTTTTTTATTTTTTTCTTGCTATTAATATAAATAAACAGATGAGAAACCACTCAGACCAATAAGATCTGGGAGTTTATGGTATACTCAGTTGCTGTTGGACGGCTGCTGTTAGCCCGGCCCATCTAAACATCTGCACGTTGAGACTCTCTCTCTCCTCCGTGCGTTCTTAAAGCCCAATACAGTGTGTTTGTTTATGTTAATTAGTTTTTAATGGGGTTTTGGACTTCGTATTGTCAATTACAGTCAATCAAAACGGCTTAGGGCACCGGACTTCAGCGCCGGCATGCAAGGACGGGCAAGTCTGGACACCGGCCGCACCTCTCCGCGGCTTCCCCTGCGCCGGTACGAGGCTGCCTAAAGCAGTCAACAGGCGAGCTCGCTTCTCCGCGTCCCCTCGCTGGGAGCGGCCGCTGAACACTGGCTCGCCCTCCCGGTGCCCTCCCTGCCCCCGACTGAGACACCGCCCGCAGCACAGAGGCCGCGGCTGAGGATTACTCATCGACGCCCGCCGCGGCCCTGCCTAGGCCCGGCCTGCCCCGCAGCATGACTGGCACTTTTCCCGGCCGCGTAACCAGTGAGGGGAGCCGGGGCGAGCGGCACCACAGCCCGCGGCTCTTCGGCCGCACCTCGGCCCCCTCCGCCACCTGCCGCCGTCACCGCCACGGCCGAGGGGACTCGGGGAGGCACGACGCCCAGGCCCGCCGAAGACACCGGGACCGTCGCAAGCCCGCCCGCCGCCTCGGCCCCTTTCAGCCGGCAGCTCAGGAAAGCGGGAGCGCGCCCGGGACCACCATGGGGGAGGCAGGGCCGTAGCTGCTCCCCACCCCGCGGCCTCCCGCAGCGCTGAATCACGGCGCGGTGCCGGAAGAGCCCCGGGCGCCGCACTTGCGACCCGCCTGAGACCTCCTACAGACCACGGGCCCTGGGCGGGGGTCGGCGGAGCCTGGCGCGCCCTGCCCCCGGCCCAGCCCCTCCCCTCCCCTCCCCTCCCCTCCCCGGGGCTCACCGCCATCTTGGAGGGGGGTCTGCGGAGCCTGCGCAGGAAGGAGCAGGGGGAAGGGGCCGAGGGAGCCGCCGCCATCTTGAAGAGGGGCAGCGCCTCGACACCTCCCACCCGCCCGCGCCCGGAACATCCGCCCCCGCCTCCCGCAACGGGGGGGGGAGAGGGGAGGGGGGGTGCGCGCCGGAAGCGCGTCCGCGGTTGGCCTGGCGTGTGAGACAGAGCTTGCCGGAAGCCAATAGGAGCCCCGCGCGCCTGGAGTCCCCCTGCCAATGGGCGGGCGCAGTGCGGGCCGCGAGAACAACGGGAGCTGATTGGCCCAACTCTCAGGCAGCTGGGAGTGGATTGGCGGGCGGGCTTCGTGGATGCAGGGAAAGGAGGAAAGAGGGAAGCTGATTTGTGAGCTCTGTGGCCATGGAGCGGGAAGGAGGGAGCTGATTGGTGATGCCGCGGCGGTGGGCGGGCAGAGCAGCTGTGCGCCCGTCTGTGTGTGCCGTCGCGGAGGCGATGGGCGCCGGGATGGACTCTGCGGAGGCTCGGTGCGAGGAATCGGAGGGGTGAGAGCCTGCCCCGTCCCGACCCTCCTGCCCGCCCCCTGGCACCCCCTCACCTCTTGCCTGTCCACTCCACAGGAGGGTCTACCTGGACTACAACGCCACCACCCCCCCGGCCCCCGAGGTGGTTCAAGCCGTGCGGGACGCCATGAGCCAGGCTTGGGGCAACCCCAGCAGCTCCTACCCCGCAGGTGGGGACCCGGGGAACTGCCTTGTTGGTTGTCTGCTGCCCCGTGGCCAGGGGAGCTCATGGCAGAGCTGCCATGTCTCGTCCTGCAGGGAGGAAGGCGAAGGAGCATATTGGCAGTGCCCGGGAGAGCGTGGCGAGGATGGTGGGAGGCCGGCCAGAGGACATCGTCTTCACCTCGGGGGGCACGGAGGTGGGAGCAACCCCCATGCTTCCCCTGCCTGCCACCTCCTCGCAAGTGGTGATGAGGAGGGTGGGTTCAAAGGGCGCTGTGTTCCCTATAGGAGTTCGTTTTTCCTCTCTGCCTTCCTGCCTTCAGGCAAACAACATGGTGATCCACACTGCCTGCAGGCATTTCCACGACAGCCAGGCCACGCCAGGGGACAGCTGGGGGACACCACATGTTGTCACATCGAGCGTGGAGCATGACTCGGTCCGATTGCCACTGGAGCAGCTGGTGAAGGAGGGCTTGGCGGGTGAGCGGCAGAGGGGCAGGCTGGGGGCACCTGCCTGCAGATCTGACCTCCCACAACTAGGGCTTTCCTCTGCTGGTGGAGAACAGGGACACGCTTGCTCCATGGTGTTCCTCTTTCTCCTCCCAAAGGGCACCAAGTTCCCACATGGTGTCCCCCTTTCCTTAAGCTGAGTGCATTACCCTGTTGGCATCCTGGGAACCACCATGCTCCCTGCCTGTGCACCAGCTGCCTGTACAGTTCTCCTGCCCCACCACTTAGTGGGGTGCAGGCAGCCCTGGCCATTGTCGGTCTTCCCAGCACACCTCAGAGCTTGCTTCTTGGATTGCAGAAGCCACTTTTGTGCCTGTATCCCAAAGAAGTGGGCGGGCTGAGATGGATGATGTCCTTGCTGCCATCCGGCCGACCACCTGCCTGGTTTCCATCATGTTGGCTAATAACGAGACTGGGGTCATCATGGTGAGTCTGTGAGCAGCAAGTAGGATGGGGTAGGGAAATCCTCACGAGAAGGTGCTCAATAAGGGGGCGCAGACAGTCCTTGGGATGCATCCCCTTTTTCCTCCTGCCAGCCTGTCATGGAACTGAGCCAGCGTGTCCATGCTCTCAATCAGCGGAGAGTGGTGGAGGGGCTGCCCAGGATCCTGGTGCACACAGATGCAGCACAGATGATTGGCAAGGGGCGCGTGGATGTGCAGGAGCTGGGGGTGGACTACCTCACCATCGTGGGACACAAGGTATGGCGCTGTTCACGTGCCCCAGCCACTTTGCTCTCTAAGACATCTCTGTTGGATGCCAAGGAGACTTTGGCAGCCCCCCGCAGCTTAAAACCCCACTGTGACCGAGGCTCTTTCTCCCCACAGTTCTATGGTCCGCGGATCGGCGCGCTGTATGTGCGCGGCCCTGGCACCACCACCCCGCTGCACCCCATGCTCTTCGGAGGGGGACAGGAGAGGAGTTTCCGGCCAGGGTAAGGTGGCTGGGTGATGGCCTGGGAGCTAGGCCATGCCAAACCATGCATAGCTACTTAGTCCGAGCTGAGCTGGCAGCTGTGTCACTTGCCAGCCCTTGGGTGGGCAGGCCAGCACAGGGAAATGGGTCTGTGCATGGGAACTGTGGGATCCTGATGTGGGGCCCTCCTAACCACCACAGAGAAGGGTCGAGGACCCCCTATCAGCAATGAAACACGTGTGCCCTGAGGTTGGGTTTCTGTCCGGAGAAATAACTCCCTGCTCCCTCTTCGCTTCCAGCACTGAGAACACCCCGATGATTGCTGGCCTCGGCAAGGTGAGTCAGTGATGTTCATGGGTGAGCAGTTCTCTGGGGGTGCTCTCTGGCACTGCCAGCATGGAGACGGCCACCTGCGCTCCCTGGTCACTAGAACTGACAAACCTGGGGTGTGGGAAGATGGGGCTTTCTGGTGCCAAACGAGGTGCTTCAGAGCACTTGCTGCAGGCTTTGCAGCCCTGGCAGTGGGCAGTCATGGAGCTCACATGGTGCAAGGCACCAAGAAGCTGCTGAGGGATGCAGAGAATCTGGCAGTTCCCAGGCTGGACTCACATGCAAGGGGGCTGTGCACATATAGAGGTGTTGGGGGGTTGCTGATGGAACCTGTCTGGGTTTTCTCTCCTTAGGCTGCAGAGTTGGTGAGCAAGAACTGGGAGACCTATGAGGCTCATATGCGGGATGTTCGGGATTACCTGGAGGCCAAGCTGGAGGTGGGCAGACCTTGTTCCTGTTTGTCTCTTCCCCTCCTGGGGTCTCAGCCTGCAGAGTGTGGAGCCTTGACCCACATCAGGACAGAGCTCACAAACCTCGAGTGGTTCACAACCCTCTGATTTCTCCAGGCCTCCTTTGGGAAGCAGAGGATCCACCTCAACAGCCACTTTACAGGCTCCAAGAGACTTTGCAACACCTCTAACTTCTCCATCCTGGGCCCAGGCCTTCAAGGTAGCTCTTACCCCACCACTGCCCCATGATGGTGCCCATGGAGCCAAGCACCTGCCCTGCACAGCACCCTGTGGCTAGAGACCAGTGAGTGCTCAGCCAGGGCTTTGGCAGAGAGGTGAAGCAGGCAGTGGCCCTCTGGGAGAGTCTGGGTGATGGGAGACTTGTGCTTGTGTGTGTGTGCTACAGGGCGAAGGGTGCTGTCCTGCTGTAAGATGCTTCTCGCCAGCGTTGGGGCTGCCTGCCACTCTGAGAAAGGGGATAGGTAAGCAGCTGGCTTGGCCAGGCTGAGGGTGTCTTCCTAGAGGAGTGTGCGTGGGAGGAAGGGAAATGGGACAGGGAAAGGCACTTTGGTTTGCTGTGGGCATGGTCACCTGGAACAAAGAGGGTGCAGAGCTTTCCAGAGGGGCTGAAGGAGGTTATTTCAGGAGGCACAGATGGAACACTTGACTGCTGCTTGGGAGGACTTTGCCCCTCCTGGCTTTGGTGGTGCAGCTGAGCTTGGAAGGACTCTTAAGCAGCTGGTAGTGCCAGAAAAGGGCCTGCCTTATGTCTCTGTGTGCTTAGCTCACCTGCTGAAGCCCAAATTGGCCTCCAGTGGGCTGTTTTGTGGGCTTGTGGGGACAGCAGGTGACTGGCCTGGTATAGAGTAATTCCCTCTAGAAATGGCAGAACTCCTAACCCATGCAGGCATGCAAGAGGGCCTTCCTTGAAGGGGAAGAGCTAAATCCTCCACAGGGTAACAAGCCCAGTAGGAGCAGATACCTTTGGAAAGAGAGCAGGGCGCTGTGCAGGAGACAGATTTGCCTACAGATGTGCCCCTTTTTAGGGCTTGATGAAGCTTTCTGGTGATGACATGTGCTTCTTTTGCCTTCAAGTTAAACCTGAATTCCCCCATGCCTGTGTTTCAGGCCCTCCTTGATTCTGCTCAGCTGCGGGATCCCCTATGATGTGGCACAGAATGCCTTGCGGCTGAGTGTGGGACGGGACACCACCCGGGCTGACGTGGACCTAGTTGTGCAGGACCTCATACAGGCTGTGGCGCAGCTGGACCAGGACCAAGCCCCATAGAGCATGGGAACTGCTTGCTCCCTGGCCATCAGGCAGGTTCCTGAGATGCAGTTGTGTCTGACTGATTCCTGGCTGCCTGTAGCAATTTGGGCTCAGGGTTTGGCAGGATTAGTTTTGTACCTGGTCTCTAAGTTGAACTGACGCAGCCTGCAGCTTGTGACTCTGGATCAGACACAGGGGAGGGGGCAGGAGGAGGAAGTGGGATTACCCATATTGGCAGCCATGTGCTCTTAGGGCTGCTTAGCTTGCACTCACAGCGGTCACATCAGGGCTGGCACAGCTCTGCAGCATGTGCAGCTTGAGCAGAGAGTGGAGGCAGCAGGGAGCTGTGCTGGGGCAGCTCAGCAAGAGCTGGTCAGGACTGTCCCACTCTTCATGGTGCAGGCATCTGGGGAGTTTCACTATCAAATGCTTCTCACTTGCCAGTTCATACCCAGCTGCCTGCATGCGTGTGTGCATGTTGGCATTATGGAGTCCCAAAGCTCAACTGCATCCAAGCCATTACAAGTGCGGAAGCCATAGGAGATGGAGCCTTTTGCCCTGGATGCTTTCCACAAAGGAAGCTTTCCTGCTGTCTTACCACTCAGAGGAGGAAAGGCCATCTGCCTCAGAGGGAAATGAGTTTATAGAACAGCAAGATTCCAGGCTGGGAACTGCCAGGGCCCTCAGCTACTGAGGGGGTTTTTGGCTGGGAAAGCATTTGGCGTGGCTTTCCCGGCACTGCATTGCGTTACCTGTTCCCCTCCCTCCTGTCCTTCCTACAGTAGGCAGAACTCCTGTCACCAGTTCTATGTGATCCTGAAGGAGACATGTTGGGGCAGCTGTAACTGTGCCAGCACCACCTCTGAGGAAGTGTGTGACCCAGGAGATTGCTCTCATCAATCACTGACAGAGGACATAAGTGTCCTCCACATTGCACAGATTAGGAGCGTTGCGGATGGGCTGATGCTGGGGAATCTGGTCCCCCTGAATATTCACAGGAATAAAAGTGTTTGCTGTTGCTGTGGCTTTTTACAAGTAAAATGTATTTTCCATGGGGGAAGCGGGACTGGTTGGGGTCATTGGAGCAGTACCTTTCCCCTCAGAAAAGGCACATGTCCCAGAGTAGAGGCAGTTTGCTGCAACAGGCAGGTGCCTGCTGGTCCTGGAGTCCAAGGACACAGGTTTTTAAACACTGGTCTTCACTAGCCATACATTAGCACAGCCAGGAATACTATTTGGAACCATAAAACCCGGGGGCTTTTTCTAAATGTAATTTCTAACTGCCCCCGTTACCACTGCCTCAATCTCAATGGCCTCCTCTTTCCTTTTTTTCCTTGCATAATTGTCAAAACCTCTTTTAGAAAAAGTGATTCCATAGAAAGAATATTGCTCTGCTTCAGGTATGGATCATTGATATACCACAGACCTTAGAGCTCTTGGGGACCTTTCTTTCACAGCCGTGGCACAACTGGAGATCCAGTTTGGGGGCTTTTTAACCCTACAGGAGATCTGAGCTTCCTGCATTGATTCAGGTAGAAACTTAACCACAAAGCACAAAAAGCTTTACTGACTGACTCTTTATACACAGGAAATACAGGTTTTAACCACAGAAGTACCAGCATCACTTTGAGCATTACAGCCAAAGCAGAAGTAGTGTTACAGAGGAGACAAGTACTCTGGTTGTCCATTTTAATGGCTTTACTATTCATTTGCCTACTACCACATTGCACAGGAATGACAGTCACTAGTGAATCCCTCTGTCTCTGTATTGCATCATCCAGGGAAGGTGAGGAGGAACCTGCCCAAGGCTTGGCCGGCACTCCCTGCTCACGCACCCTGCTTGCTGGGGACAGATAAGCCTTTCCTCACATGACAGAATGCCAGTGGTGGTATGTGCTACAACAAAGTCACCTGCCATGGAAGTCTGGAAACACCAACATTGCTACACCAGCTGTGAATTTAAACAGTAGAGAGACAACCTGGCTGCTCTAGACAGAGACATGACCCTAGAACACTAAAGCTGAAATAACTAACTTCCATATGGTCACATAACCAGATTCAGAGGACAAAACCACAGTTCATTTAATGGAAGAATCCACAATCTCCTGATAATCTTGCCTTCCTAAATTCTTCCAGGACAGTTTGTAACATGCAAGGAAGAAGACACTAACCAAAATAACAGCTCCCCCAACAAGATCATAAGCACCTGGGAAGATCCGCAACACGACAAGTTGCAGGACCATGGCAATGACTATTTCCAGGTGCTGTACGGTGCTGACCAAAGCAGGGTGGAACTTGCTCAAGGCATAGTAGACCCCCAGGAAGGCTGCTGTGGAGCACAGGCAGATGGCAAGGAGATAGCTCCAGGTTTCTCCATCCAGTGGGACGATTGGCTCTTGAAGTAAGAACATGGTGGATGCTCCCCATACCGTTCCCGTCCAACTAAAGGTGAATAGTGCTGTCCACATGCTGATGTTATCTTTGATTGACCTATAGACTATCATGGAGAGGGCAGTGGTCAGGCCTGCCATAACAGTCATGGTATAGCCAAAAGCTTCCTTCCAGGTGCTTAGCAAAGAGTTTTCCTCCTTAACAATATTGGGTATCATGACCAGACAAACACCAAACACGCTGCCAAATACAGTAATAAGGTCTATGTATGCCATTCCTTCATCTATGAGTAAAAAAGCCAAAATGGCACTGAACACGGTAGTGGTAGCCCTCCACATAATGGTCCCATTGCTGGGGGGAACTATGGAGAAGGAGGTATAAGCACAGGTAATAGAGATAACATTGCAGACCCCATAGAAGAAGAGCCGGAGTCTGTAGCCTTTTGGGCCAAAGGGAGGCTCATGGTAGTAACACACAACAGTAACGGACAGCACTTGTAAGACTGAGCGGATGAAAATTAACTCTAGGGATGGCACTTTGGAACGATCAGAAATTAATCTTGTAATTAGAGCCACGCATCCATGAGCCACAGCAGATCCAAAAAGGACTACCCATGTTTTCCTCGACTGCAGTATATTTCCTTCAGGAAAATGCTGGGATTGCCCCATCTCATTGGGTTTTGGCAGTTGTGCTGGCTGAAGTTTGGTGTCTATTGTACCAAAAAAAGTCCTTTCTGTCTTTTTCCCATCAGTCAACAGTCTTTTCTTAGGATTATCCTCCATAAATACTCCAGTATCTTCATTAACATCCTCACATCCCTCTTCTCCTGGCTGGGGATAATGAGAAGTATATTTCACTGTTACTGTGTTGGGATGAATTTTCACTCGCTTTTTGATTGGGTATTTTTGGGAAGACGAATCCATTTCCTTAGAGAAACTTCCTGGCTTTAAGAAAAGGAGATGCACTGTTATTTTTATGTAATGAATACCAAGGGATTCATTAGTATGCAAATGTCATTAGTGTTTACAAGCTATTTTTATCAGCCAAGTCAGTACTAGTTGATTATTCTTGGTTTTGCTTTTCCAAAGTCAACCATGGCACTTCACTTTAGTCATTACTTTAAATCACATATATTCTCATTATGTATACTACATATAATGCATTCTAGTATATACTTACTCTAATGAGGAGGTTCCCTTGCAAAGCTTTCTGGACAGTATATACCCTGTAATTATGAATTATACTTATTGTTAATTGCTTGCTAATGTTACAAGATTATGGAAGAAATTTGGCAGCAGGAGATGATCGCCTTGTTCCTAAACTGACAGAAAGCACACAGGGAAATAGGGAGTATCCCTGAGCAAGTCAGCATAGCTACTATATAAATAAACAACACAGTTTTAGCAGTGCTTCTTTGACAGTGTTAAAAGTTCCTTTCTCTTTTCACATCCTTTCATTTCCAGTGATAGATTTTGCAACAGATTTGTTCTTCAAATCCATTTTTTTTCTTTAAAAGGGGGAAAATTTATAAGTGCTGATCCAAACTGCCAGCCAGACTTTCCTGTGTGTCCTGGTTTAAACCCAGCCAGCAACTCAGCGTCATGCAGCCATTCACTCACTTCCCCTTGCCCCCCCTAGGGAGAATGTGGAGGAGAATTGAAAGAATGTAAACCCCACAGGCTGAGACAAGAACAGTCCAGTAACTAAAGTACAATATAAAACTACTATTAATGATACAGGAAATAACAAAGGGAGAGAATATAGAAGGGGACGGGGACCATAACCTAAAAAACCAACACAAGTGATGCACACATAATTGCTCACCACCCACTGACCGATACCCAGCCTCACCTAAGCAGTTGTCTGTCCCTTCCAGATAATTCCCCCCCATTTATATACTGGGCATGATGTGCTGTGGTATGGAATACCCCTTTGGCTAGTTCAGGTCAGGTGTCCTGTCTGCTCCCTCCCAGCTTCTTGTGCCTCTTCTTGTGCTGGCAGAGCATGAGACTGAAAAAGTCCTTGATCAGAGCAAGCGCTACTTAGCGACAACTAAAACATTGGTGTGTTATCAGCTTTGTTCTCAGACTAAAGCCAAAACACAGCACTGCACCAGCTACTAGAAGAAAATTAACTATCCCAGTCAGAACCAGGACGCTGTGGCAGACACTTAAAAAACACAGCCACAAAATCTGTCTCTTATTGGAGGTCCATTTCATTCTACAACAGAGTGCCTGTGGTTTGTGCACACCACCATGGCACAGGCAGCAACATGCATGCTGCTGTATGTGTCAGAACAGCAACAGCCTTTCAAAACAAGCAAGGGAGCAATGCCATCGCTTCACCAGCACAAACATCGCTTGGTCTTTGCTGTTGCACGCATAGGCATCTTGCCCACAGACTGCCCACCTGCAGCCTTAATTCCCTCCAGCTCTCCACTGAGCATGCCATCACTGTCTCAAAGCCTAGTGTGACAGCAGCAGGTCAGTTTAATTCAGGCACAGGGATGTCACTGAGATTACTTTGTTTTCCCAGCACCCTCCATCACCTGCACAAACAGCCCTCCCAAATTAAGTGCCAGCAGGAGAAATGCAACCTTCCCTGCCTTCTATTTGCCCCAGCAAATAAATGCACAAAGACCTTACCTGTGACTGAGAAATTTAATCCCAAGCCAGGAGGGGAAAACACCTCTTGGTCATCTACATCTTTCCCCGGGTGTCTAAACAGAAACAACAGATGCTCTCAGATATCAAATAGGAAAGGTTACAATCATCTCAACACAGAAAGTAATACCTAAAGGAGGCATGAAACATTCTGCTTGTTTTTCAGAGTTGCAAATTTGAGAAGCACCAGCATGCCTTTGAGGCCATGCTTCCTGGGAACTGGCAACCCTGGTGCATCATTATGGAAAACACCCCACCACAAAACCCCAAGAACTTTAGATGGAGAAAAAGCAATCAGTGTTGTCTTGCCAAAACCACTCCACAGCCATCTCTCAGAGTTATTGATGGAACTAATCCAAAAGAACAAGTGGTGGTTTTGTAAGTGTAAGGTTCCTACAGCTTAACAACAAGCAAATTCACCATCCCATGCCTGCCCCACCAGCACTGCGGAACAGAGGACCCCCAGGAAGAATCTTCCTCCTGCTCCAGCCATCCAGCCCCGTAAGATGAGCCCAGCCTTGCAGGCAGCAGTTTGGCCCCTGTGATATCAGCAGGGGATGAGTATGGACCTCTCTGCAGCCCTTTTCCACAGGGACTATGGAAGCAGCAGAGCAGGTGGATCCTGAAGGTGCAAGACCATAGCCAAGTAGAGAATTGAGCTGAACAGCACAACGGCTGTTTGTTGGGGAGACCACAATTCAAAAGGCAATATAGAAGTGGGTGCAGCAGCTGGGCAGAGCAATACTCCTAAAAATATTGTGGCCAGGTTCAGCCTGTGCATTTTCTCCCCCACCTGTGGATGTGGATTTTCTCCCTGTGTCACAGCCAAGCACTGCATGGCTCCTGGCAAAACTAATTTATGTAAGAATGGGACATTCTTTTCCCTCTGAGGGGCTGAGTGTTTATTGAACCCAGTGCTACACCCAAGCTAAGCTGTAGCCTACTTCTTGCAGGCACAGCAAATCCCTGGT